GCTTTTAGAGTCAGATCCAAAAGATCATAGTCAAGACACATATCAAGGAGCTTTTTCCTGTGTTTTCTTCTAGGAATTCTAGTTTCAGGTCTTACATTTAAATTGTAATCCATTCTGAGTTGATTTTTTTGAATAGTATAAGATAGGATCCAGTTTCATTTCTTTGCATATGGCTATCCTATTTTTTTTCAATATCATTTATTCAAGAGACTATCCTTTTCCATTGTGTGTTCTTGCCTCCTTGTCAAGGATTAGTTGACCATGTTTATGTGGGTTTATTTCTGGGATCCCTGTTCTGTTCCACTCTTTTACATGCTTTTTTTAAAATATTAGTATCATACTGTTTTGATTACTATATCTTTTGTAATATAGTTTTAAATAAGGATGTGTGATACCTATAGCTTTGTTTCTCTTTCTCAAAACTGCTTTAGCTATTCAGTCTTTTGTGGTTCTATACAAATTTTAGGATCATTTCTATTTCTGTGAAAAATGCCATTGGAATTTTGATACAGATTGCATTGACTTTGTAGAATGATTTGGGTAAATGGACATTTTAACACTATTATTTCTTCCAGTCCATGAACACAGGATATCTTTCCATTAATTTGTGACTTCTTCATTTGCTTTCATCAGTGTCTTATAATTTTCAGTGTATGGGTCTTTCACCTCCTTGTTTAAACTTATTCCTCCTTGTTTAAATTTATTCCTAAATATTTTATTATTTTTTGCTGCTATTTTAAATGAGATTGCTTTCTTAATTTTTCTTTCAGGTAGTTTATTGTTAGTGTATAGAAATGCAAGTGACTTGTGTGTGTTAATTTTATATTTGGCAAATTTACTGAATTTATTATTCTTTTTTTTTTCAAGTAACTTACTGAAGAGTATTTTCCCTATCATTAAATATCCTTGTCCACTGTGCTTTTCAATAGATGCATAGTTTTGCATTGTATGCTCCTGCTACACATCCACAATTGTTATATCCTTTTGATTGACCCCTTTATCATCACAGAATGACCTTCTTTGTTTCTTGTTATAGTTTTTTTTTTATTATGTTATGTTAGTCACCATACAGTACAT